CCCCCCCGCAGGACAGCGCACGCGCGGCGAGCACTCCTCTCCACCCAGCGCCCTGGCGGGATGCGGGACACCACCGCCCTGAGGGCTCCTGGAGGGACCCACCGAGGCTCCTCCAATCCACCTACTGATGCTCTCTGCTCCAGCCTCTGTTCCCAGGCCCTGTCACCCGTGGAATGTGGGCGTGGGCCGACATGTGGCTGGCGGAGGTCACATGTGACATCCAGCTCAGACCCCACGGTCCGGGTCCCGCGTGGCCCCCTTCCCTCCCTGGGTCTTCCCCTCTGCAAGCCTCTGGTTCCTGTGACGGGCCGCTCACACCGTGCTTTCCATCCCATAGGCTTTCAACTAAAGGACCCAGCACGCTGTACTCAGCACTCCGCACCCTGCACCCAGGCTGGGGCTCATTCTCTCACCCTGGGCATAAGCTCCCAGTCCCAGGCCCCTTCTGTTTTCCTAGGCCACAGCACGAAATCCCTAGAGAACCTGGCCCTCCTGCACCAGCCTTCCTCCTTCAAATTAAAAAAAAAAAAACAAAGACAAGGGTTGCCTAGCAGTCACTCACATCTTAGTATGAATTTCTTTAACTAGCACCTCATACTTAATTCCCCCAAACTACTCTGAAACTGACGGAATAGGGGAAGACAAACTGACAGGCTCTGGGACAGCAGCCTAGAGCCTGAGTCAGACAAGAAACCCAGCGTCCAGAGGGCACCCCAAATAAGAGCACCAGGCTGTGGATCCTACCGCCTGGTGAAAGCTTTGTGTCCTGGCTCCGGAATTCCAGGTGACTTTGGTGAAGCTGCCTGTCCCCTGAGCTGCTGTTTTTTTCTGTGTTCCTTGGGCATCTTGTACTGGGGCAGAGATGGAGTGAGAATGTCCCACCAGCTTTTCAGTGGAGAGGTGACAGCCAGCAGCTTCCCTCTCTGCTGCCCCACCCTGCCACCACTGCACCCTCACCTGCCAGCACCTGTGATCAAGCCCCCAAGCACCCACTGTCCCCCTGGGTGGCTGTGACAGCAGGACAGGGACAGTGGAGCAGAGACTTGGAGTTGGGTAAAAACAAAGCTCCAGACCGGGTGGTGGGACAGTCCGTGTGAGGCAAGCAAGGGCAGCCTGCATCCGGGGCCCTGGACACCTCGCTGGAGCAGAACAGCTGCCCCCGGCCACCAGAAGGACCCAGCTCTCAGGGACCGCAGCCCCTGGCAGCTGGCTGGTGCATCTGCACCGTCCATGGCGTTGGCCAAAGGGAACCTGGTAAGTGAGGTGTCCTGTTCCCTTGTCACAAAATCCCCTCTCTGGAACCCAAGGGAGGACAGGCCGCCTGGGCTCCGCTCCACCCACCGAGTCTGGCATGGGGAAGGCTGGGGCTCACATCCCAGCCCTGCCTTGGACAATTCGGGACTCTGAGCTGCTGGCCTGTCCCTGCAGCCACTCCTCGGGGACAGTCCCAGCTGTCTCATAGCTGGGGTCAGAGTGCCAGGTACCAGTGCCAGGTGTCGCAGAGACGGAGAATGTCGGTAGTCTCGGTACTGTACGTGTCACCTGCTGTCATTACCAGCGCTGCCACCGCTGCTATCAGTCGCTGAACATTAAATGTCCCAGCCTGAGCCCCCCACGTCACCCTCCTGCCACCACGCGATCCATCTCTGCAGAAGGAACCGTGCCTTCGCCTGTCCCCCTCCGGGCCGCCCTTCACGAGTGTGCCAGCCAACATGGCCCGTCTGGGAGCTCAGGAGGGGACACACCTCTCGCCGGGAAGGGACCTGGGTGACACCAAGGCAGACAGTCACTCACCTCCCAGGCCCACCTGAGCGTCAGACCAAAGCCCATCTCGAGCTCACTCATCCTGCCACAGGACATCCCAAACTTTCTCCCCAAATCTTCTGAACCCTTAGAATTCCAAGCCACTCAGTGCAAAATATTTTCAATGAAAGCCACACAATCAAAAACAGTAGTGACCGCCTCGCTGCCCAGTAGTGAAGAGTCTGCTCTTGGTTTTTCTCCGGTACCGGGAACCGAACTCACGACCTTGCGCATGCCAGGCAGGTGCTTTTGCCGCTGAGCTAAATCCCCAGCCCCGAGTCTGCTCTTTTTAGGGAGCAGAAATCCCAAACACAGCCTGACGACTCCCGGGAGCAGCTGGGTGGGGGTGGCATCTGCTGCAGGCCTCCCGACCTCTAGGGCGCGCTGTCGCTGGGAATGAGTTGGAGGCAGGGCCCGCCCCCCCCCCCCCGCAGGTGCCCAGGGTCGGCTCCTTCAGGCCCGCCCACCCAGAGCCCCAGGACACAGGGGTCTCAGGAGATTCTGTGACAACACCCCGAGAAATACACAAGGAAGTCGCCACCATTACAGCAGGGGACAGGAACCATCAGAAGAGCGCCCGTGATCCAGATCATAAGTGCAACACGATGGGTCTCAATGAAATAGTCTTGGGTCGCCAGAAACACTTTTTGGCCTCCTGCTCCAAATTCCATGGCTCCAAATTCACACAGGCGTATAGGAGGAAACAGGGATTGCGCTGTTAACCTCCGGCTTCATTGAGCTGGGTCTCTGAGGGAAGCCGATTAAAACCAAACTAGAGGCTGGGCGTGGTGACCCATGCCTGTAATCCTAGCACTGGGGAGGCTGAGGCAGGAGGATCGTTGCGAGTTTGAGACCAGCCTGGGCTACAAAGTGAGCTCAAGGCCAGCCTGAACTGCATAGCCAGACCCTGTCTCAAACAGACAAAAAAAAAAAAACTGGACCCAGAGGCAGAGACGACAGCAAAGCAGCCCAATGAGGGGGGCCACCCAAAACCAGGAGACAGACAGAAAGGGACCGAGGGGACCTGGCCTCCTCCACGGGCGCGGTTGGAGCAGGCCAGTCCCGTCCCTCCAGGAGGCGGCCACACAACTGTAGGGACGGGCTGGGGACACAGGCCGGCAGCCGTCAGCAGCCCACACTGGGTCACGTGGAGAGTGCCAGGCTGAACTCTGCGGGAAACCCGTTCCCCAAAGGTACCCTGAGTCCTGGCCAAAGAAAGTGGGTTCACGGCGATGAGGAAAGGATCCTGATGCAAAGGCTGTGGCCCGGGGGACCAGGGGCACGTCCCTCAAGTCCCTTGTCCTCTCCGGCCGGGGACAACCAGAGCTAAAGTGTGAAGGGCCTGGGGGGCCTGGCGCACAGCAACACCCTTACCAGGCGGGGCTCCTTCCGCGGGCGGTGGCGCAGCATGGCCCGCGTGGGAAGCGCAGCTCAGAGCCAGGCCGCAGCCCGCCCGTGCGCTCCCAGCCTTACCACCCGAGGCCCTCCTGACCTGACGTCCCGGCCACCACCACCTCTCCTTTCTCAAGGAAACCTTGACCGGGCTTCTTCGGAGCGCAGGAGTTCCTTGGGCCAGCTTTTCATTACAGGCGCAGGGGCCTTCGGTTGTCAGGGAACAGCCCCCAACTTAGGGACTGAAACCAGGGTTCCCTCTGCTTCCTGTCCCAAGCCCCAGCGCTCGGAGGGACGCGGGGACCTCTGGCTTTTGGCAAAGCCCTCACTTGCCAGACCCTCCCTTGCATTCCTCGCCGCTCCACTCCCAACCTCTTCAGACCCTAAACGTCGGTCCCTCTGCCTGCGTGGGGAAGGAGGAAGACAAACGCGTGGCAGCCCCCCCCCTCCTACGGTGGGAGGGTCCCCTGCTCAAGTGACAGCTGGCGCCCGCTGGCCCCTCAGCCTTCCACGGGGACAGAGTGACAGGTTCCGCTCAGACTGTCCCTCAGCCCGGGGGCACAGCGACTCGGACACTGGCCATCTTCCCGTGCAGGGGGTAGGAGGAAGAGAACCGTAACGGGGAGGGGACATCCAAAAGGCCTCCGCCAAGCCCCCGCCCCCTGTCCCCGGCCGGAAGAAATGCCAACCTGAGAATTCACCCAGAGCGGTGATGAGGGAGTTGGTGGCCTCCGTTTCAGTGTAAGACAATGTGGAATCGGACAGATCTGCGGGGAGAAAGAGAAAGAAAACTTAGTTGGTTGGGCGGCTCCGGGCTTCGTCTCCTCTCCCGTGTGTGTGTGTGTGTGTGTGTGTGTGTGTGTGTGTGTGTGTGCGCGTGCGCGCGCGCTCGCACACGAGTGCTGGCAAAGGAAGGGCAGGGTGTCCCTCACGGCTTCCTGATGCCACGCTTAACTTGCCCCGGGATCACCCCAGCCCAGCCTGGGACTCTCCTGGCAAATGCAGGCTGCTGAGGTTCCAGCCTCTGAAAAAGTAGCAAACAGCCCAAGTTCAGGGGCCCGAGCAAGTAGCAACTTGGAGCGTCCCGGGCAAGGTGAAATTAAGCCCCTAAACAATTCAGCGTTGCTATACTTAATTACAACCATTAAAATTCTTGAAGGTGTTCCTTCTTGCTCGCTTGCTTGCTTGCTTCCTTCCTTCCTTCCTTTCCTTCCTTCCTTCCTTCCTCCTGCTGGAGCTGGGGAAACTTTGTTTTAACAAGCCACAGTGGTCTTCGCTGGGTCCCACTTACACCCCTCTAATTAAGGGCTCAGCGTTTGCTCCCAGATTAACTTTTTTCCTCTCTCTCTCTCCCCTTCCCTGCCCCCAAACACCCACACCTCCTCACTGTACAACTTTCAATGCCTACACTGTTTTTTTTAAGGCGCTCGTTTTTTTAAAAGTAGCTTCAAGGCCTTCATGTGGCCTGCAGTATTTGTTTTCTCTGTCTGCAGTGCCCCACGATGAGGAGGGAAATTCTTGTGCACATTTTCTCTCCATGGCGGAGCTGCTAACTTGACAGGCCGCTGCCTTCTGGGACAGGCAGACTTGAGAAATGGCTCCTGGGCCTGGCCCTCCGCTACCAGCCGTGAAGGGACAGGCCTGTCCGGGAGTCAGGAGTCTGCAGCCAGCGCCCCCAGATCCGGAGGGACCGGCCCCACCTGGCGCACTAAAGCACCCCCAGGACCAGGGAGTCCGGGGCCAGCACTGTTCGCCTGGGCCTGAGCTCGCTAGAATTCCACGCGATCCTGCAGGAATTTTTTCCTTTTACCACATGGTCTGGAGAGCGGGAAGATGAAACATTAACCAAATTGGCCTTTTTTTTTTTTTTCTGCCCCACTTGCCAGATGCTGACTGAGTATTCCGGGTTTTATTTTGTTTCTTGGTCTCATGTGATCATAGAGGCTTAGAAGTGAACTGACTTTTTGTTTATGAAAAAGCCACAATGCAAGGAAAAGAAAATAACACCAGAAAAAAAAAAAAAAAACACCCCTCGGACTATTTATCGGGGCACGGAAACATTATCTGCGGGTCAAAGTATTAGGATGAACATATAGGCACACGGAAAATCTTTAACACAAAAACAAAGAAAAGCCCCTCAACGTCTCTGGGGCAAACATCTTTTTTTTTTTTATGAGACGGGGTCTCGCTATGCAGTTCAGGCTGGCCTTGAGCTCACTTTGTATCCCAGGCTGGTCTCAACCTTGCAACGATCCTCCTGCCTCAGCCTCCCAAGTGCTGGGATTACAGGCGTGCGTCACCACGCCCGGCTCTGGGGCAAACATCTTAAAAAGACTTTTGCTTTTAATAACGAATGTCCCCAAGTACTCAAAGCCACTTCCCCCGAGGTGGGGACACCAGGGGCCCAGTCCTATTTCTGCCCAAAGGTGGTGGCTTCCATCTTTCTCGGGTACCAAGTCCCCATCACACCCTCACCAAGTCTTTCCAGCAGGGTCCCGGGGGCGACTCAAGGAAAACTCGGTTCCAACTTGTGTTGTTGCCCAAGGCCCTACGAGGGACTGGGTTTGAGCCTCAGCTCTGCAAATAGCTATCTCAGGGACCCTGCTCTTTTCTATAAAGAGCTACAGAGTAAAGATCTTCAGCTTCGTCAACCGGACGTGCACTACTAACTACTGGACTGAGTCTGTCTAGCCAAGGAGCCCAGGGCTATACGGAGGTGGCCAGGTGTGACAATGTCCCTAGACGCAGAGTCTGAATGTCATGTAATTTTCACATGTCAGGAATCTTCTTTTGATTTTTCTAACCATTTGATAAAGGAAAATCAGCTGGGTGTGGTGGTGCACGCCTGTAATCTCAGCACTCAGGAGGCTGAGGCAGGAGGATTGTTGCAAGTTCGAGGCCAGCCTGGGCTACAAAGTGAGCTTAAGGCCTAAACTGCATAACAATACTCTGTCTCAAAAAAGACAAAAAAAAAAAAAAAAAAAAAAAGAAAAGAAAAATCTTTCTGAGTTTAAAAGACATATTAAAACAGGAGTGGGTTGAGTTCTGTGACCTCCTGCAGTGCTATTTCCTCTTCCTGGGCCTCAGTTGTCCCGTTCATAATAAAATCGGGACATGCTAGTTTCCAAAAGGTCAATCAGGGGCTAGGGATTTAGCTCAGCGGCACAGCGCCTGCTTGGCAAGTGCAGGGTCATGAGTTCGATTCCCGGTACCGGAAAAACAAAAACAAAACCAAAAGGTCAATCTGCAGGGCTGGGGCGGGGGGGCTGGCTTCCTCAACTCTGCCCCAGGTTGACTGATGGACCCTCAGGGAACTGATCCCTGATTTTCAAACTGAGGCATTACATTCCCTATAAACTTTTGAGGGCTTTTTGTCTAATTTTCGCTAATGGAACTAGGGATCTTCTATGAGACTGGCGCCATGACACCAGCTTAGCACACACAGACTCAGTCTACAGCAGCAGGGTGGGCACCCTGGACCTGAACAGAACCTGCAGCTCCCCCAGACCAAGCCAGGCCCACTAGGCCTTTCTGGAACATAAACCAGGGAAGCCACCCATTCAGCCACTGACTCGAACACCCTGTTGGGGCACCTCTGCACCCATGGCGAAGGTCATGCTACTGAGGGGGCCTGATGGCATCCCTGGCCTCATGCGGTTGGGGGGCTGGGGGAAGTGGGTACAGCCCTGAGAGTCCAGGATCCTCGGACGTGGCCTCCACCTCCTGTTACCAGGCGGTATCTTCACCAAAAGCGAAGCAAACCCATTCTGTAGTCCCTCGGGGACGGTTACTCAGCATCAATGCCCACGTCCCACAGAAACTCCCCAGGTCACCAAAGCACTGTCCCGGGACCCTCAGCTCCAGCACTGGTCACGCCCCACCTGAGGACCGCTGGTCAGACAGCCAATGGGGCAGAGAACAAGCCTTTCTAAAACCGCATGGATTTCCCCAGAATATGAGCTGATTATTTAGCCCCAGGATTTTATAGAAAACATGCCCTGCTCTGAACTGGCCCTGTTTAAAATAACATGGCTAATAGGGTGTGGTGATGGATGTCTACCATCCCAGCACTCAGGAGGCTGAGGCAGGAGGATTGCCAACAGGTTTAAGGCCAGCTTGGGCTACATAGTGAGAGCAAGACCCACCCTGAACTACACGGTGAGACCCTGTCTCAAAGAAAAAAAGGAGAGGAGGGTACACAGAGCTCCTTCTTACCAAGACTTGGCGACCCACCTGTCATATTCCTAATTAATTCACTCTACAGGAGAACAACCCAAGGCTCGGGGAGGGAGAAGGACAGAAACCCAGGAATCCCAGCTCACCCCAAAGCCCTGCTTAAATCAGAACCCACTCACTCCCACGGCTGTGTTTAAAGGTCACACAAAGGTTAATGATGAGCCCTGGAATTCCCAGACGTAAACAGCCGGCTGCAAAAGCTGGGTCTGCTTGGGCCTGAGGGTGGGAGTGTTTGCAAAGATTCGCCCACCTCAAATCACACGCCTGCAGCCCAGAGGACACTTACCCAGTGGCTTGTACTCTTCGGGAGGAGACAGCCGAGAGTAGGGGGGTGGCGGTGATTCTGGAAGACAAGAAGCAGCTCGTCACTGCTGGGGTTCAGACCTGGGCTCTTTGTGCTTTTGTATTTTCTGTGGTTGTTGCTTTTGGGGACAGGGCCTCACTACACAATTCAGGCAGGGCTTGAACTCACTATGCAGCCCAGGGTGGCCTCGAACTCACGATGACCCTCCTGCCTCAGCCTCCCGAGTGCTGGGATCAAAGGCATTCACCACCACGCCCAACACTGTGGTTTAATGATTAGTTTCCTCAAATAATAACCCCAGCCCTCAGGAAACCCTCCATTTCTCCCGCCACCTGTGCTCCCCAAAAGGACTAGAACAGTTAAGGCCACCAGTCTGGGGTATAGACAGACCGAGGCTCAACCCTGACTCTGCCGCAGAAGGCTGTGTGTGCTCAAGCAAGTTGCTGCACCTCTCTGAGCCTGTCTCCGCTACTATAAAGTGGGGATAATGATCAGAGACTGCCAAGTTTTTCTGGAGGGCAAAAGGAGATAGAGTATATAACGTGCTTAGCTCAGCTCTTGGTGCTGTAGAAAAACACCTCTGTAAAAGGCAGCTACAATTATTAAACAAAGGGGGGCTGCGGGAGCCAGGGAAGTCAAGGCCAGGAATGGCATGTAAAAATATAGGGTCTTCTGTTACATGTGAATTTGGAGTTAAGCATAGCATCATGCTTCTAGTACAAGTACAGCCTTTGCAATACTTGGGATATGCTTCTACTACATTATGTTTGTGCCGGGCATGGTGGCACACACCTGTCATCTCAGCACTGGGGAGGCTGAGGCAGGAGGATCGCTGCGAGTTCAAGACCATTCTGAGCTTCATAGTGAGTTCCAGGCCAGCCTGAACTACATAACAAGTCCCTACCTCAAAAACAAACACAAACACACACACACACACACATACACACACACTATATGTATATAAATTCAAATTTAGCCAGGCATGTAGCAGTTTATTTGCTAACTTTGGCAAACCTCGTCAAAGCTGAGGGTGCCTGCAGAGCCCCAGACTTGGAAAAGTATTCTCAAACAAGCTACATCAGAACCAGCACCTGTGGGAGGCACAGGACAGGAACCCAAGAGCCGAACCCAGCTCAAGCACCTGAGTAGGAAGCCTTGAATGGTCACACTGGGCTCGCGGCCTCAGTCTCCTTGGTTGGGAAGGAAAGGCAGAGGCGCAGCATGGCCCCCAGCTGGCGCTCTGTGACTGCTCCTCTTTGCCCTTCATTTGCCTAAAACACTCCTCCGTAAAAACATACACTTCGCCCTCTGAAGAATCTCTTAGCCTCCTGCTTTAGGGGAAGTAACAATTTGCATGCACGAAATGACCCTTCATTTTCCATACGTGAAACTCGACACCATCCAATCACCAGCGAAGGCGGGCTGTGCCATAATAAAGTGGTAATAACTATTATTAGGCAGTATCAGGAATGACACCAGGGCAATAAGTGTTTTTTTCGCAATTATAATGGGGCACAATTAGTTGTGCTCCGTACATCCAGCCAGGCTGCACTGCTCCCCCAACCTGCCCAGCTGGCCAGGCTGAGGGCTGGGGCCAGCGCTGTGCAGACAGGGGAGGCCGCAGAGCAGCCATGGGTTAGGATGTCACTCTTACCTCCCCAGCTTTATATTGTCCTTTACTCTTAGCGACAGGGGTGGTGAGACAGGGTCTGGATATGTAGTTCAGGCTGGCCTTGAACTCACTATGTAGCCCAGGCTGGCCTCAAACTCCCAGTAACCCTCCTGCCTCAGCCTCCTGAATGCTGGGATTACTGTACAGCCACCACCCTCGATTCTATATTGTGTTTTATTCTTGCAGACCTGAGGTTCAGAGTGGTTCACGGTGCTCATCAGACAACTATGTTTACTTAATCCTTTCTCAAAAAATAAAAATAAATAAGATGACACAATTATCCCCATTTTACAGATGAGGAAACCGATTGCCCCAGCCCCGAGACAGTCGGTGCAGCTGGGATTGGTACCCAGGACTGGTGGTCCATGAGACAACGGTCCTGGGGATACCAGTGATGCTGAGAGCACCTGAGGGGACCCACAGGAGACCCCAAATGAGATTCAAGGGGGAGGCTCTGCAGCACTGGTCATGAGCCAAACAGTGCCAGGTCTCTGGCCTGCGGCCTTACACCCTTTCTGCCACCCTGCGCGAAAGTCAAAAAGTCAGCTGCTCGTGGATGCAGTTACTTTCACAAAACGCGCGGGCTAAGGCCCAGCGGCACGTGGCATGGAGCTCTGGGCATCTATCCCCCCATCTGTCCCCAAAGGTGAAGCTTGTACTCCAGCATGGCGGTGGCGGCTGGAGTACAGCCGCTGTTACCAGCGTCAGCACCTCTGACAGGGACTGGAGACCCGAAAGCTGGACGGTCGAGGGCGGGAAGGGCTCGGGAATCCCCCTGCAGAAGCTGCCCGGCCCTTGAGTTGACACCTATTAGCCAAGACCACACCTGGCTTGGGAATTTCTACTGTCACCAGCAAAACAGAAAGAAAACCTAGGAGCCTGAAATGCAGACACACCAGCTAGGGAGAGGGCAGGCGCCGAGGGGCCTTTGCCAACCAAGCCCCCATTTACCCCTGCAAAAAGGTCCGCAGAGAACTAGTGAAGCATTTCTCCAAGGTGGAAGGGGACTTGGGGGTCACCATGCTCGGGTCCTTCTCAAAATCCGTGTGGCTCCTGACGTCCAGGCAGGGAAAGGACCTGCTGGAGCCCACACATGATGGCTGCAGGTGCCTCCCCCTGGTGCCTAAACCAAGGGGGACCAAGACCAGGTAACCTTTAAAAAAAATTTTTGTAAAAAAAAATTTGTTGAGATATAATTCACAAACCAGGACATTCACCCTTTGAAAGCAAGCAGTTGAGTGGTTTTTACTTTATTCAAAGGGTTGTGTGATCATCACCATGACCTAATTATAGGACATTTCCAACACCACAGAAGGAAATCCTAACCCCATTAGCAGTCACTTCCTACACCCTAACCCCCAAGCCCTAGGCAACCACTGTTACGGCTGTGTCTAGATGTGCCCCCAAAGCCTCATGCAGTCATAGGTGGGGTTTTTTCGGAGACGGCTGGATCTAGAGTGTGTGACACTGGAATTAAGGGTGAGTGATTACAAGTCAGTCCACTGATAGATTTGGCACTGCCCCCATCCTGGTAACCTAGACAGAATATAAAAGGCGCAGGTCCCTTGCTTGGTCCCTTGCTTGCTTTGCTGCCTTCTGCCCGCCATGAACTGTTTCTCCTCTGCGATGCCCCTCTGCCATGCCACTCTGCCTTGCAGCCGATTATAGACCGATAGCTCTATAAACTGTGAGCTAAAGAAACCTTTCCCCCTTTAACTTGTGGGTGTTGGATATTTTGCCTCAGCAATGAAAAAAGTAACTAAGACAACCACTAATCTCCTTTTTGTCTCTGTGGATTTGCCTACCCTGGAAGTTTCATGTAAATGAAATCACACAGTCTGTAGCCTTTTGTATCCCACTTCTTTCACTTAGCCAAATATTCTCAAGGCTCATCCCTGCTGTAGCATGATCTGTCCTTCCCTGTTCATGGCTCAGTGATATGCCATTGTGTGGATGTACCACATTTTATTTATCCATTCATCAGCTAATGGACATGTGAGTTGCTTCCACTCTTTGCTGTTATGAATGACATGCTCTGAACAATACTGGGTAATTCTGGATAATCCCTAACTGCCACTCCCACTCCACTCCCACATGGCCAGGTGTCCCAGAGCCAGGAGCCCTGGGACATGAACTCAGGTAGGATACTCCGGGAGGGATGCTTGGTGGATGAGATAAAGGGTCAGAAGAGACACTGAGTCGCCACCAGGTGCTCTGCCCACTCCCCTCTCAGAAGATGCCCTACTATTTGCAAAAGGTGTTGAGAGTTGGAAATAATTTATGTGCTCTGAACTTGAACAGGCTTCCTAGAGCCCTGTAGGCCCCTCTACAGGCCACAGGCAGAGTAGCGAGAAAAAGGGAAAGAGAGAGAAAGACGTCAGAGACTGCAGCAGCATCCCCATTCCAGCCTTAGGCTTCCACATCAGGAATCTCCTCCAACCTCCTCCTGAAGCGGGCAGCCAGCGGCCAGCGCTCCAGGATGCAAGCTTGGCTAGCTCAGCCCGGCCCAGCCCAGGCCAGTCACACGTCCAGTCAGCCCCCGGGGGTGCTGAGCCTCCTGGGATCCAGACCTGCATCTGAAGCCAGGAGCCAGTTCACAGCCGCTCCTGTGCCTGGCCAGACCTCAGCTTGGGACCCCGCATTCCAACTCCATCCCAGCGGCCCAGCATCTCGCTTAGAAAGACTGGAGCCTCCCGGGGCCTCTGAGTTAGTTCTCCCCCTCCCCAGGGTGCCCAGGGTGGGTGGGTGGGGAGGGGGCCTGTCTCCTCCTCCCGGAACCTAAAGGCTCCGCCCCAGCCTCAGGCAGGGAGAGCAGAAAAGGGGCTCCCGCCACTTTAAGGCCAGCGGAGCCTAATTGCCCAGATTTCCCGGGCAGCCAGATAAACAGAGAGCGAGGCTGGCGCCAGCGAGAGGCAAACTGCACATTATCACCCCTTCCTCACCTCCAGGAGGAGCGAGGAGCCGTGGCCGAGGGGCCGAGCAGGGCGGGCAGGGCTGGGAAGCCCAACTTGAAATTGATCTCATTTCAAAGGGACAACGCCAGGCCAAAGCAAAGGAAAACTTCTGAGCCGGTCTAATTCCTCCAGTGCTGGCCTGGGAACCCTGTGTTTTCCTCTGAAGCCTCCTCCAGCGGGTTGGAAGTTTCTCTCCCTCTCCCTCTCTCTTCTCCGCCTCTCTCTCCCTCTTTCGCTCCCTCTCCCTGTCTCTCTTTCCCGGGCACAATTTGGATAATAGTAATTTACTGAATATAATTACAGAAAAAAAAAAGTGGTGAAGCATAGAGCAGGAGATCTATTCCAAAGTTAATGGATACTTTCGGGAGAAAGGAGCTCTATAAACACAGGTCAGAGCTGTGATTAAAGTATTTCTCCACATTTCCGTCCACATAGGCATCCACGAGCTCAGCTGCCTGTGCCCCGAACAGGGTGGCAGAGGGGGCCTCGGGACGGTGCCCAGGACACAGCGCGCCCCCGAGGGTGGGGCCTCTCCTGAGACCCCAGCTTCCAGCACAAGCCAGAGGGAATAGGGCAAACAGAAGGGAGAAGGGCCCCTCCCTGGAGCCTGCAACCCCCAAACATGCAGATGGGAAGAGGGGCAGGGAGGGGCACCGTACCACAAGTGCCAAGTGAGACGGATGGGCCTGAGCAGGCTGGGGTTCTGAACCCCAGGGGGTCACCGCGGCCCAGGAAGGGGCCTTGTCACTGGGCTTCCTGTAAGCTGAGGAGTGGGGACACGGGGTGTGGTGGTAGCCTGGGCCTGCCCCGTGTGCCTGTCCCGGCCTCAGCAAGGAGCACACTTCTAATCAGGACTCTCCCAGCTACATGCGCCCACCCAGCCTCGGAAGCCAAGCAGATGGCTAGCTTACGGGGCACGGTGGGCGGAGGGCTCCCCGCCTCTGTCCCCCCGAAGGCGAGAGGGTCACCGCGTCCCACAGAGGCAGTCCCTGCAGCTGTCCCCAGGATGGCTGACTTGGAAGCCATCCACTGGAGGCCAGCAAAGAGAGGGGCAATAGAGGGGGCTAAACAGGCCCTGTGACAGCGCCTCCTGCTGGAGAGAGGAGGCAGCCAAGCCCCAAGGCTCAGTCCAGAATTAGAGGAATTAGAGGCGGGGATGCTCCCAAAGCCACCCACACTGACCTGTAAGACCATGGAAAGGGGAGGCCACTCGTCCAAGGTCAACTTGCTGGTTCCGGGCCGGGCGGAGCCCAGGACCAGGTTCCATGGGTTAGAACTGGCCTGCACTTGCCAGGTGGCCCTCAGCCTGTAGCTGTCCACGGCCACCAAACTCACATCAACACCCAGGCCAACTCCCAGTCCAAACAGCAGGAGCCCGAGTGGGTCGTGTCTGTCTCCAACCTTCTCCGCTCCTCCCCTTCCTGCCCACTCACCTGTGCGTGCCTGGCCCATGGACACCCCGCCGCCCCAGGATAGAGGTGTGGCACTCCTAGAGGTGCTCCTGTCACACACACACACACAGCACTGCTGGAGCTTCACAGCACTGACCTGGCCCCGCCCACATCCCTTCTTCCCATCTCCCCAACCCAAGGGCACAGAGCCTACTTCCATTCCCACTCTGCCAGCTACAGCGCCCAGAACACTGCCCGGCACACAGTAAGTGCTCAGCTAACACTCACTGGCCCACCAACATGGTGAGAGAGACGATGTCCGCCAGGCCCTTCTACAGGAGGGGTGGGCCTCACTGTCCATCTCCAGGGACCAGACAACCACACTGGGGTCACCTTCCCAAGGACAGGGAGAAGACAGGGGTAGCAGAAGAGAGAAGGTGCCTTCCTAGGCCGCAGTCAGCAAGAGGAACAAGGCACATGGGAAGCCAGTGCAGGCCACAGGGACTGCCCAGGGCCCCTGCGTGGATCCTGGAGTAACCAGTGACCTGGAGCAGCCCCCCACCAAGGCCCCCTATTCAGGAACCACCACTGGGGGCACCTTTTCCCTTCCAGCCACTACCTGCCCCAACACACTCGGGACACCTGGGGTAGATGCGGAGCCCTAAATCCACCTTCCCCTTCCTCACCAAGAGTCAGGAGACCCGAGGGTGCTGACTCTGCCCTGGGAGGACGCAGTGACAGAACTCAGAGCCCTCCCAGGGCCCACAGCCTGCGACTCTGCCTGTGCTTCTAAGGGACTTGCATGCACCCCTCCCAAACAGCCTTGCAGAGCAGAGGGCTGCAGGCTGTCCCCTGCCAGGGGCCTCCCGGAGTGGAGTCCTCACCTCTGCTCTAGCACCTGTCCCCAGGTAAGCAAAGGGGTGGGGTGTGCAGGAAACCCAGGAGAACAAAGAAGGGGGCAGTTCTCCAGGGGCAATAAAACAGCTGGCTTCCTCCCTCTCTCAGATGCCTCCAGGACCTCTGCTCAGGAGGAAACCTGAACCCAGGCTGGAGAACTGCGAGCATGGGGGACACCGGCACTGCACACCAAGGGATGCTGGGAAGGAGAGAGGGGTCACCCTGCAAAAGCTTTGCTCAACAGAACGAGTGGAACATCTTACCAACCCCTCTGACTCGGACCACAATTTGTCTACAGTCCGTTTCACAATTTACAGATCCCTGGATACAGAAAGGGACAGGAGTGCAGGGATACACAAGCCCACAAACGCTAGAAACGAGGTAGGGAGACGGGTGGCACCCATTTCTGTGACCTCTCCTTGGCCTTCCCTCCCCATTCAGGGTCTGAAGCTAAAACCCTTAAGGTGTCCCTGAAGCTGCACAGAACAAACTCCAGTATGTGCACTTTTTTAGGTTTGCTGGAACCTTAACGTGACGTCGCCTTTTGTGGCGAGTGCTAGGACGCCCCCTCCCCGGAGACTCCCGCGCTCCGGGGCGCCCCCCGCCCGCACCCAGAGCCCAGGGCGCGGAAGCGGACGAGCGGGGAGGGAGCAGCGGCCCCGCGTGCGCGCGCGCGCTCACCTGGCCCGCAAAGCCGACTGAAGTGGTAGGGGTTGCAGCACACGGTGGGGCCGTCGGCGGCGGCGGCGAAGCTGTGGCAGCCGCACAAGGGCTTGAGCTCCACGGCGTGCTGCAGGTCGGGCCAGCGGAAGAGGCGGCCGAGCAGCAGCTGCGGCGGCGCGGGCTGGCCGCCCAGGCGGAGGTCGGCGCGCGGCACCAGCACGCAGCCGCCCGGCACGCCGCCGCGGGACTCCACGGCCTCCAGCAGCGTGTCCAGCGAGCGCTCCTTGAGCCGCTTCAGCAGCGAGTACGTGACGGTCTTCAGCTCCCGCTCCAGCAACAGCAGCCGCGAGCGGCCTTCGCGGCTCCGCCCGCCGCCCGCCGGCTCCGGGCCC